CTGCAGACCCCAGCTGGCTCCAACCACCTTTTCCAAGATATCCATTCCCCATTCCCCCTCTCCAGCTTTGAAAATCTAGTAGAGTAAAAGGAATGAGCCCAGTTTGATGTGCAAACTCGATAACCAATTCTACAGCTACAGAAAACCAGGAGCTGCCCCTGATGTTTGCTGGTTTTAAAAGCTTAAAGAAATGATTTAAATCCCTGACCCAGTGACTCACAAAGCTTAAGATGAATCTTTGAGAAAGAGGAAAGCTCTGTCTAGTTTGGCTTTTGGATCCACTACCCGATGGGGGGTGGAAAACAGAAGGAATCTTGTTTGCACACTCCTGATACCTCCTCACCCAGAACCTAAAACTGTCAGGAAAAGCTCATCCCCAAACCCCATTTGGCACATGACCTGTGCCTGGGGCAGCTCCAGCCTTACTTGGATCTTTCCACACTCATCCCTTTTATTTCATCCTCTCCCAATATCAAAACTGAGCAGGGAACAAACACAGGTAATGTGAGGTGACCCAGATATTTAAATCTCATCAGTGAGACCTCCTGCTGCTCTTACTGGAAGAAAACACCACAGGCAGGCCAACAGAGAGCCTTAAGTTCAATCTTTCCAAGAAAGACTAAAACTAAGAGGAGCTAAACCCCCCAAAAATATGAATAAGAGAGGATTTACATTTTTTGTTGTTTAATCAGAGCTGACAGCTCCCTCCTGGCTGGAATGAGTAACATGAACAGCAAACTCTCTTCCTGCTCCTCCTGCTCAGGTCACCTGTATGCTTTCTGTTGTCCAGACCTTGCACAGCTCACCTGGGCAGCAGTGAAATGAGAGAATTCCAGACAAAATTCCCCTTGAAAATCAAAAAAAACAAGGGCAGGAGGGAGAAGACATTAAACTACCAGGTGCATAAACACACGTGGTGGGTGACACGGAGGGGCAGGCACAGAACCCACGCTGGGCCTGACAGGGTGAAGAGGAGCAACAGAGCTGGAGGGAAAAGCAGAAAACTCAAAGCTGTCGTGGTTTGAGGAATTCCAATCAGTCTCTGGAGAGAGAAAAAGGACAGGAGATGCTGTGGAAGGAGTAGGAAGGAAGGATGGGCCTCACAGGGGGCTCATCTGCCAGGGCATTTCCCGCCTGGCCCTGCAGTTTGTCTCACAAGAAACATTTGAAGGAACTAAAACTGGTTTTAAGCTCTTTGAGGAAAAGCCACAATCCCCATTCTGAGCAAAGAAAATGCTGAAAAAACAAGTAACTAAGTAGTGTCAGCAATGGGAACGTCTAAGGAAGGGGAACCCCCACAAATATTGGGGCTTTCACCAGCTTTTAGCCAAACCCCCCTGAGCACAAGGTGACCCAGTGCCCTCCCTGCTCTGCTGTGCCCAGACCTGCTCCAGCACATCCAGCCTGTTTGTCCAGCTCCTCTGAAAAAAAATTACGAGTTTTGCATGAAAAACATTTCAAACATCCATCTGCTTACACTCACACAACCTTTCTCACTTCTGGAAGCACCTGGCTAGAGCCAAGGTTTCTGATCCATAATAAACTGGGAAATGTCAGTAGCACAACAGCCTCAAAGAGAGAGGGAAAGAGAAAAGAAATTGGTTTTCGAGCAGCCTGAGAAACACTTGTCTGCAAATCTCATGTCCTGCTGTCTCCTGGCTCCAAAGGGCTCCTTCAACCTGCCAGTTCTCCCTGCAGTGGAGGGAACACTGAGGAAAAGAGGAATTCTGCAAAGGCTGAGCTGCCTTGAGGGCTGTGCCAGAGCCAGAGGGGCAGAGAGCACAAGCCCAGGGGACAAACCAGACCCCCCAGGATGGCAGCACCTCTTGGACAGGACACAGGCAGAGTTTAACAGCCCCAGCTGACCCAGTTAATTACAATTAATTACCACAGAGACAAAAGGCAGACTGGCTGTTCCCTGCTGAGCTCCTGCCTCCCCCCCAGACAACTCCATCAGATCTCAGCTGTCAGGAACCAGATTCCCCTTCCAGCCCTTCCCCACGTGGGATTTCAATGAAATTAAGGAGCTAATAAAGACATCCCAGGCACTGCCAGCGTCACAGCTACTT